TCAGATCCGTTGTTCATACGATCACCACAAGTTGTTGTCTAATTGATGACCAACAATAATGATAAGGAATTGAGCAACTGTCAACTCAAATGTATACGGCAGGAATCCACCACCTGCTCCACAGGAAGATAGGCCATTTCTCGTGAGATTTACAGCCTCCGAAAACCCACTGGAAGTTCAGGTATGAGTCAACTTCAACTTGACATCAAGTAACATTATTTCATTTCTCTGCCCAAGTGTGGAAAAATGTTTAAAAATAAAATAACAGCACCAACAACTAATCTTGCATTTTCAAAATAACTTGTTTTCCTACATTTGATTTTTGGGATAACTTTGTAGCATTAAAGAACACAGCTCACAATGTTGGGCTTAACTGTAGTGTCCTCAGGTCCAGAAACCCTTCCACTCTAGAGAGCACTCTAGAGTTATTCGGTAAACACCTTCTCTTCCTCTTACCTGCTCATTGGAAATGAGATGTGCCTCTCCCTAAAGACTTCTTCCCTGCAGCCCTTTCAGTTAATTCTTGTTTTTCCCTTATGCCCTTGTACCTGCTAAAAGAGCTATCTTCCCCCACACCACTCCTCCTCTCCCTCCCTAAACGTTCCTAGTTTTGATTGTCATATGATCATACAAAACCCACTGCCTTTACTCCACCAACTCCCGAGTCACATCCATATTTCTCAATCATTTGAGCTCCTGGCTCATTCTCATTCTATCCAAGATGTGCATTCCTATTTTAATTTCCATTTTCTTGACCTTCTCTCCTCTGAGCATCCATGCTCCTCTTTATTTTAGTCTCTCAACTTCCATGGCCAATATCTATTATCATGTCTCCACAGTCTCAATTTCATATATCCCATTCACTGGCATGATTTCCTATACTTTATTCCTTCATATTCTATTTCAAAGGGCAGACCTCATCCCCTCTGATTCCTCCACCTTTTTAGTGTCCCATCGCCACCATTACCCCCACTCAATGCATTCTATTCCCATTACACCCAAATTCTGAGATCAAGCATTATAATCCATCTCTAATTAACATCTCTAACTCCCTCCCACTTCACTCACCTTGCCCCACTCAATGCTACAACACTAGCTAAAAACAAGTGCCTTGACTACTGTCTATACACACAAACAACTGATTATGGCTGGGGAGAAATATACAATTATGTCACTGCTTTTATTTCATCTTAAATTCAATGCCAAAACATCAAGCAGACTTTGAATGATGCTGGCAAACATACTGTATTTTCCTAGTCCATTCACCTTCCTGCTCCCTTAAAATATTCATACCTTCCTGTATTCTCAAACTCCCAAGACCTCAGTCAATTTCTTTTTTCAAATGATGACATCACTTCCTAACTTCTCTGGGAAAAAATGAAGCACTTAAAGGAGAATTTCCATGAACTACTACAACTCTGGTATCCTAGTGGTTAAGGAGTTGCACTGCCAACCTAAAGGCTGGTCATTCGAATCCACCAGTAGCTCTAAGGTGAAAGATGAGCAGTCTCCTTCCATGCGAATTCATAGTCTTGGAAAACCTGCTGGTGGGTTGACTATGAGTTCCAGTTTGATGGCACATAACAACAATAAACATTCATATATCCAACTGCTTATTTTATATCTCCTCTCAGAAGTCTGACATTCAAATGAGTACGTTTTAAAAATAAATTCTGACTTTAGCTTTTGGGAAGATGAGTTAGATACATATTTCTCTATTTCTCTAGTTAAGAACAATTTAAATCCATGGTTATTATATACTAAAATAACTTCAGACGAGCAATGACCGAGTAGCTAGAATCCCAAAACAGGAACTGGAAAATGACATTGTAATGAGTTCTCTAGGTTTTCTTTTTGCGTCATGGATCCCACATTAGAAGTGGGAAAGCCAGCAGCCTGGACATGCCAATGCATACAGGCAATAGGGAGCACCAAAACCCTGCACTTTCTCTCTAGCAAACAGACCAGGATAAATCTGAGCATCCTAGCTTGCTTATACATTTTATATAAATCTAAACAGAAATGAATTGTTTTATACACCTTAGGGTCCAAATTTTACAAAATATAAAAAGTTAATTTTAATTTTGTAATCTTTACTTTGGAACCGCTTAGAATGCTTAGAACTTCTGATTTAGGTAACAGAATTGATAACTGAGCAAGGAAGCATACTTTGTAATTCTTGCTTTAATAAAAATTCCTTTAAATGTAAACAATAAAAGCTGAACATGCTGCAAGTGATGATGATTTTGAGGAACAACTTGTTGCAAGTAGATGCAGGTTGTACCCTTTCAAAGTTAAGCGCAAATTTACTAAACATTTAAGGACAAGCAACAATTGTCTGTATCAGAATCCTCAACTTGCTCAGGTGACACTGAACTTCTGATAAGAGTGACTGAAAATCTCAAGAATATATGAGTAAACAACACAATAATGGCTGAAACAGCAAATGTTTCATTACCTATTTACTGTCTTTGGATATTTACCACAATATTAAAAGCAATAATGAACTTTGAATATTTTAAAAAATAAATGTATTACATATTAAATTAGGTGATCATTTAGGAGCAATGTACAGGATACTAAATGCACAGAAAGAGGCACTCTGAATTGGTATGGCAAGACATGAATATACTAGTCTAGACCACTAGAAGTGGCCTTCTAGTGATCCAAAACAGTGCTTATGTTAATTCTCTTTAAATTTTATAAAAATAAATTAAAAAGTCTTCCAATGCCCAGAACACATCCAAGCACTGAAATTGTAAGAAACCTAAGATGGGGGGGGGGGGCGCTCTGGTGACTCAGTGGCAAGGAGCTGCGCTGCTAACCCAAAGGTCCAACGTTAAGACCCACCAGATGTGCTATATCCTCCAGAGAAATTCACTGCCTCTGAAAATCCCCAGGAGGGTCAGCTACGAGTGGAGTCAGTTCCTACTTACAGTAAATAACAAGAAGAAACACTTTCCTGCATAGTCATTAGAAATTCTAAATTTCAGGTCTCTGTTCAACAAAGTTCCTCATTGTTCCATAAAGCCTTCTGTAACACATTCAAATACTACAGATCCATGAAAAGAAGTAAGCAGTCTTTTTTTTTTTTCTTTTTTCACTCAAGACAGGAAAGGTCAGGGACCAAAGGAAGCCCAAGCAGATAAAGATCTCTCTTATCTGATAATTTCTCTCCTCCAAGATCCTAAGGAATTCAAAACCTGAGGGCCCAGCTCTTGAACAAGCCCAGAACCTGAGAGATGCGGCTACAAGATAGATCTTCCTCCTTCACTTTCTCTCTCTGAAAGAGCCCATCAGCTCAGTCCAGTCACTCCCTCCTGCCCACCTCGGTCTTTACACTGGCTGTACGCCTTCTGGAAAACCTCTACTCTCCCTTGTTCCCTCCAGATCCTTGAGTGTCCTAACCCTGTGTCTATGTAGACACCATCCCGCCTCCTTCCCCGCCCATCTACAACCCTTGATCTCACAACTCCACTTCTCAGGCCCCGAGAAAACCTACCACCTCATACTCCTTCAAATACCCTATTCTCCCTCCTCGGGTCCGTTGAGACACGGGTTCATATCGACACCGCTGTCTGCTGCTCAGGACCCTCGAAAGCGCCCTTTTCCTGGCCCTGCCGGTCTCCCAGTTACTAGCGCCCGCGCCCGCGTAGCCCCGTTACCAGTGGACAGTGTAGGGAACGCAAGCAGGAGCGCCAAGATCAGCGGCCGCGCCCGGCCTCCAGGGGCCTGGATTCTCAGACCGGACAGCAGCTTTGATTGCGCTGTCCCCCTCATTCTCCACAGGACTGCCGCAGCCATAACGGACTCAGCCGGGAGCCTGCGCTGTTGCTAGACTCTGCGTCATGACGTCAGATATACGTGACACGCCATGGCCTTAGGCGCCTACTACCCAGCGTGATGACGTCGGGGTCTGGCTGCGTACCTTTGTATTCAAAAGAGCGGGGAGGTTCGTGGAGGTCGTCCAAGTACAATGCTGCCTCTTGTTTACCTGTTAAGAGTGTGATAAGATAAGGTGCTGAAAAGGCACCAGGCGAGTTCTCCTACATGAAGAAAACACTATAGCCAATAAGAATATCTTTACAAACATATTTAAAAGGAAACTCGAACTTTATGAGTTCATGATCCCCAAAGCGAAGGAAACACAAATGTTGAGGATAGCCATACCTGATGGTTAAATTACAGGTAAATACTATTATAATTTTTAAAGATCTTTTCCCACAATCATTTGCTATTTTAACAAATATTTAACACTTACTTGTATTTCAGGAGTCAGTAGTAAACAAACTGCCTTTGTAGTGTTTCGTGTAGGTGATTGTATAAATTACACAATATATAAAATGTGCCGGGAAAGCAAGGAAGGGAGCCAGAAAGTAGGGGTGAAGGCTGGCTTCTCTGAAAAGCTTCCAAATTACCTGAAATAAACTTGTATTACCTTTTATATCTTGTTATTTAAACTAAAACGCCCAGGATATGAAATGCACATTTAGGAACTTCAGGAAATTAGCTTTGGGCTTTGGGACAATTTTTCTCTCCGTAGGTGAATGCTTCCTTCATAAGCGTCTATAAGCTTCAATTCATAAACGTTTCATTTGATCAGTTTTCAGGAAGATCAGCACGGCATAAAGCAAAGTATTTATTATACACCGTTTCGCCACTCCAGACTCAGAAAACTGCTGCTATCCCCAAAACAGAAACACAACTGAGCTGCCTCTGAAGAGAAGCGCCTAAGTTCGGCTGACTATGGTTTCCTCCATAACATTTATCTAGCCCTGTTGACAGCTCAGAAATACACACATACTGTGTTGTTATAAAAACTAAGAGATCATTCATCTGCTCATTTCCACAAGCTAGATAGACTGAATAGTGTCTTTATTGCAAATCATCCAAGTTAGCCAGGATATAAAGTCCTCCCAAGAAGTCCTGTTAGAGCTTCCCTTCTTCATAGACGGGCCTTAGACAGCCAGGGTTGGGAGGGGCACTGAAAACACCACATTCAGTTTAAACAATCAGCTTCTCGATTCCCGTTTTGGCTTGGAAATTGATTCAGACTTAAAACTTTTTTCATAATAAATATACCTTCAATCTTTTTTCAATAACAACCCAACTTACTATATACAACAAATAGTAACTAGGGAAGAAAATAGTCCCTCACATTCACGTGGCATCTGATTATGTGCCTAATTATAACTATTATTGTTGTGTGCTATCGAGTTGGGACAGATCCATAGCTGACCCTCCAGTGGATTTTCACAGCCAGTAAATCTCAGGAAAGGAGACTGCACATTTTTCTCCCACAGAGAAAGTTAGAACTATTACTGTTAGGTGCTGTTCAGTACAACTCATAGCAACCTTATGAACACAGATCTGAACCCTCCAGTGGATTTTCACAGCCAGTAAATCTCAGGAAAGGAGACTGCACATTTTTCTCCCACAGAGAAAGTTAGAACTATTACTGTTAGGTGCTGTTCAGTACAACTCATAGCAACCTTATGAACACAGATCTGAACCCTACTTTATCCTGTGCCATCCTCACAATCTCTAACACACTTGAGTCCATTGCTGCAGTCACGGTTGTCAATTCACCTGGAAGAGTCTTCTTCTCTTTTGCCATCCCTCCACCTTCCTAAGCATGATATCCCTCTCCATGGAACAGCCAATCCTGGCAACATGCCCAAACTATGTGAGACAAAGCTTTATCATCTTTGCCATCAAGGAGAACTCTGGCTGTACCTTCTCTAGGGTATATCTATTTGTTCTGTTGACAGTCCATAGGATATTCACTATTCTTCTCCAACACCACAGCCCAGAGGCATCAATTCTTCTTCTGTCATCCTTATTCATTGTCCAGTTCTCAGATACATAGAAAGTAAAAAGACCATGGCCTGAAGCAGGTGCACCTTAGTCCTCAAACTGGCGCCATTGCTCATCAATTTGGAGAGGTCCCTGACTACAGACTTTTCTAGTGCAATACATCTCCTAAGTTCATTGCTGGTACAAGTGCATTACACTATATGAAAAATCTAGAAGATTGTTAAGACTTCTCAACAGCCTACTTAAGCAGATGACACAATCTTGATGGTAGAAATAGAAGATTTGAAGTGTTTACTGATGATCCAAGACTATAATCTTTTACATGGATTACACTTTAACATGAAGAAAACAAAAATCTTCACAACTAGACCACAAGGCAACATTTTGAAATAGAAAATATTTACGTTGCCAAGGATTTTCTTTTACTTGGATCTACAAGAACCCCTATGATAGCAGCAGTCAAGAAATCAAGACTTGTTGCATTGGGAAAATCTGCTGTCAGAAACCTCTTTGAAAGTCTAAAAAGCTAACTTGGGAGAGGGTGGAGAGCATGACGCTCAGTGAAGTTATGTAATCTGTTAAGGACAAATACCGTATTAGGTCATTATTGTAAAAATATAAGGATAATTACTAAAACACATACAGGAATTCAAGAAGAGGAGGGGGAAGTGAAGGGGTGAAAAAGGTAGGGATGAAACCACAAGATTGCACAGTTTGGTGGGTGGAGAGGGAGGAAGCAAATGGGAAGGATCAGGCAAAAAGACAGGGTAATGATAGGCAAGGTTGAATGGTGATTGATTTTATAAAATATAATGTATGAAAATGATTGTATGAAACACAATGTGAATGAAGAACAGTGTGAAACACAATGCAGATAAACTTTGTAAGCCAAAAAATTAAAAAATGTAAAATAGAATGTATATGATTGTATGAAACACAATGTATATGAATGAAACATAATGTAAAGAAATTACTATATGAAAACCAATAAAAAATATTTTTAAAAAAGTCTAAAGAGCAAAGATGTTAAAGACTAAGGTGTGCCTGACCTAAGCCATGGTATTTTCATTTGCCTCTTATGCATCTGAAAGTTAGACAATGAGTAAGAAAGACCAAAGAATTGATGCATTTGAACAATAGTGTTTGTGAAAAGTACTGAATATCTCATGGACTGGAAAAGAACAAGCGATTCTGTCTTGAAGGAAGTGCAACCAGGCTGCTCTTAGAGGCAAATATAGTGAAATTTCGCCTCACACTGGGCAGTTCATTCACCCTCAGTGAGATGGATTGACAGTGACTACAACAATGGACTTGAAAAAAATCCACAATGGGCTTGAGCAGGACAGAGATCATGAGGATGGCACAGTCAACAGCACCTAACAATACAAGCAGTGATTATATGTCACAATCTCTGGGGGGGAAATCAACAAAGTTCAAATTAATCTTATGGAGACAGTTGCAGGTTCTGACATCTGAAGACAGTATGTTTAGCACTGGGGCAAGCATTTTTGGATATCAGGATATCAATTACAAAATTGTTAAATGTTGTAATAGTCACTTTAAGACTTTAAAAAAAAAAGATTGAAAAGAAATTCTGCCTCAAAATGTCAGAGTGGAATAAAGTCTCTGTTTGTTGGAGCTGGATAATGGGCTGTGTGTACTGTTAGGGATTTCCACAATCAAGTTATTACAACCTGTGTATGTGGAAGAATTCCAAGATGACACACACGGCACTCCGAGGAGCCCTTCCCTTGAGTGTGTTAGAGCTGTGAATTGATGGGGATATTAAACCTGTGATCAATCAGTATTTAGTAATTTCTGTCATGGCAACACCATGTCTGTCAGAACAGAACTGTGGACCAAAGTTTTATGAACTGATTTTTAAGTATATTCGTAAACAGGTTTGTGGGTGCTGCATATATACCCACATATGTAACAAACCCCAATGGGTACAGAGGCTTCCTAGACACAGCCCAACAACTTGTGGAATTGGTTTAATAGGTCAAAAGGCTTGGGAGTACATACAGTCTTCAGGACAGTTTAGTCAATTAACCTAACAGTTTATGACATAAATACTCTCCATCTTAGTTTGGTGTGTACTGACTGCCTAGGGTCTTTCTTGTGAACGACCATCCAAGGTACATCTATTGGTGTGTACTGTGGTTGTCAAATAGTAAAAAGTTGTGCTGTCAACCCAGAGGCAAGTAATTTGAATCCACCAGCAGCTCCATGAGAGAAAGATGGACAATCTCCTCCTGTGTGACTTACAGCCTCTGAAAAACCACTGGAGGGTCAGCTATGAGTCAGTTCAGACTCAACAGCAAATAACAATGTATGGAGCAAAAGAGAATGAAGGAAGCCAAAGGCTCAAAGAAGAAACTAGCCCATGGAACCAAGAGCCACAGAAACCACTGCTTCTTTGAAGAATGGATGAGGCAGGTAGGTGTCTGGCTACACTATCAACCCTTCTGACCACAAACACAGAAGATCACTGATAGAACAGGAGAAAAATGATCCAACAGAGATCACAGAATGCCACAAAGAAAGCCTTTGAACTTAGAATTGAGGCTATTTCTGGAGGTCATCTTTAAAAAGGTTGGTTTAGGCTTATAAAAGTAACACTATCAACATATGTGCTCCTTAAAACAATTAACCATTTATGAAATTTCTATTTAAGCAGTTATGAGACTAAGTTAGTTACCCAGAAGCAAGCTAGATCAATGGAAACAGAATGAGGATAATAATATTGACACATTGTAAAAACTATAAACAATGGCACAGAATCCCTTTCTGATTTATTGAGTAAACTTTCATATAAAACGGTTTTATTGCCAGACATTTCAAGGCACATCAAGTGGATCTGAACTGTCAGCCTTTCAGTTAGCAGTTAAGAGCATTAACCATTTGTACCACCCAAAGACTTAATTCCATTAGATCGTTACATGGCACTGCTGACTTTAAGAAAGAAAAATAGTCCTTTGTGGTCTGACTTAATTGGGGAAACCCTTTAAAAAAAAAAGAGTTGGGACATTTCCTGGGGAAATCCATCAGTTGACAGAGATACAGTTTAGGAAACTTCTCTGTTCTGGGTGTTAGATGTGGAGGAGTCACTACAGTGACTTCTCTGAGCTGAGAAGGGTCCCAGCTAATGGCCAAAAAGGAAATGAGGATGAAATCCAACAGCAGAAAAGAATTCCACAACTGTGTGAGCTTGCAAGTAGACCTTGAGCTCCACAAGAGAAAGGAGGCAGTTTACATACCATTATCACATGAGAAGATGAGCAGAAAGTTATACCATGCTTGTCCTTCTGACCTATAGAACTATAAAATAAATGACTGGTGTTTGAAGCTGCTGAGTTCATGGTAATGCTTATGCAGCAAGAGAAAATTAATAATATATAATATACACATACAGCAAGGGACCAAAGAACAAGTCAAAACAAATGTATCTTTTACTGATATTTTTATTAATAAAGACAACAGGAGGAGGATGAGGTTTCAATATTTTATTCAAGTTTTATTTTATGTGATGTTAATTACAGCATTTGAAGGGAGGATCTAATTCCACACAAAATTTAAGAGTCTAAAATGTAACCCATTAAACAACTAAAAAATAAATTGAGTGGTGAATACAACACTAGTCCAATTTAGAGTCTGGTGTTGTCACCATGTGATTACAGTCACAGAGGCCCTTCCAGCCTGCAGCTGGAGCTCTCAGAAGCTATTTCATTCTCTGGTGCAAGAGCACAAAACCCCAACACGAGAGGGAATTACAGACCTGAATAGTTCATGTGAGTTTGTACACACCATCTAACAATGAGCAGTTCGTCTGTTACAGTTAGGAAAGCAAGGTTCAATTCTCAGGAAGTCACAATTTCATTCATTTATGCAACAGGAATTTACAAAGTGCCTATACATTATCAGCTTCCACTTGCAGCCATTTCTAGATAAAAAAGAAACCTAACACCTCTACAGGGGCCACCAAGTTCCCCCAAAGTCTACTGCTGAAAGACTTTTTAGAATTGGGTTTCTTCTGTACCTCGGAAAGGGTAACACTTTAAAGCTGAATCATCTTTAACCTGGAAGTCTAACATGATATATAGCAATACTTGCATCCCAGACATACAACATTAAAAGGTACACTAAATTTTGAAGGTAGCTATGCTGCAAAATAGTTTAAAATTAAGTGATTGTACAATATTCATTTATGCTTGAAATTCCAGTCCTAGACCAAGCTTGTGGCCACCGGCATTGACGTTCTTGCCATCCAGCAGAGCTGACAGTGTCAGTTTGATACCTGCAGGGACAGAGGGAAGGAAGCACAGGTTAACATGAGGAACGTGAAGCAAGTTGGCAGAACCACATGCAATTCAGAACCTCATTCTGTGTGTGCATGGCAGGAGCAACCGCACTCAGCAGGTCAATCTTTCCTTCAATGTTAACTGACCAACAGGTATTGTGCAGTGAGTTTATAAAACTGCAGTTATTACCCTACAGACAAAAGAGCCTATTCAAACCGTTTGGAGAACTTCCCTTTCCATTCCCTCTAATCATCACCCGGGCTACAATCCTGTCTCTACCACTGCTGACACTGAGTAAGCTGCTGCTTTAACTGGCCCCTGAAATACAGATCCTAAATCAGACCCTGAGGTCTTAGGCTCACATTTACTGGGTACACAGACATACAGCATCTGCCCAAACACAAATACACTTGCACACACCTACTGGTATTTTTCCTGGACCAGCCTGGTTCCGACATCATATAATCTTGAACTTTCAGGGTTCAAAGACCCAATGTGAACAAAATAAACCCAAGGTGACATTACCTCCTGGAGCTCTAATGTACCATAGAGTTGCCTAGTAGATGGAGCCAACAAACCACTTTTCCTATTAATTAGCCTTTGAACAGTGAGCATGATTTATTTACAGGATAGTTTTGAAACCTTGCTGGGAACAGGTTGTGTGCATTTTGTACATACTGGCAAAGAGGAGAGGGAACAGGCGTGTGTGTGTGTGTACATAAAAAACATAGTCTGTCCATTTGCTGTACAGAGGTAACTCATGGTTGCTGTGATGCTAAAAACTGTAACATTGATGTGTCAAATGCAGTAATGGTCACCCAAGGTGGACAGTGTTTGGTGGAGCTCCCAATTAAAAAAGGCTTGGGAACTCTATGAAGGTAAGAGAAATGAGGAAAGTTATTCAAGTGTTCAGGTCTTTCATTCATAAGGTCGCTATGAGGCATTACAACTCGATGGCACTTAACAACAGAGAGAGCTATTGACCTAGTTGATAGAAAGTTATGCTACCAAGCCAAAGGTGGGTGATTTTAACCTGTGGCCCTCAGGCCTGGTTTTTTGTGTTTTTGTTTTTAATTTTTCAGTGTAAAATAATTTTATTAAAATAGAAAAGAGGGAAAAATGCAAATAGACATTTTTCTGGTATTCTCTGCTTTCATGCAGGACCCATTTGACATCAACAATTATATCCTTGGTGTCACAAGCCAGCTTGAAGTTTTGTCAGTTCTGTTTCAGTGTGCTGTTCCAACCATTTTTGGATGATCTTCAGCAGTATTGTGCTTGCATGTGATATTATATTGTTAGATAACTCACACATTTTTAATTTTTTTTTTAAGTTGTCAAAGATTTTATTTGCTTGTTGTTATTGTTAGGTGCCATCAAGTTGAATAGGCCTGGTTTTAATTGTTTTTGGTCAAGCATTCTTCTAAGTGGTATAGCACTGGTCTGTCCATTTGCTATACAGAGGTAACTCTTCGTTGCTTTGACGCTGAACACTGTGACACTGACGTGTCAGAGGTCATAATGGTTACCCATGGTGGACAGGGTTTGGTGGAGATTCCTGATTAAAAAAGGCTTGGAAGTAGGAGTAGCATCCACTTCCAAAATACTTGCCTTCAGAAACTCGATGAACATGGAGAAAGAATGAAAAGTTGTGTTCAGGTCTTTCGTTCATAAGGTCTCTATGAGTCCTCTGTGACTTGATGGCACTTAACAGCAACAACACATGGAGGAAGAAGCCAAAACTTGGTAAGCTTAGAAAACCTTTGGCTTCTTCCTCCACTTTTCTTATTTTCATAGTCTCTAATTTTAAAGACCCTGCATTCCTTTATAGCATTTCATTATAAAACTTTATCCATTTATGTATGTGTGTATTACTTTTTATTAATTTATACTAATTTACAGTGTATTCTGTGTACTTTATAAGCAACAACATAAATCAACAAGCCAACACAATTTTTTTAAGAACAAGAACTTACTTCACACACAGTTCCCACATACCTGGCTTTAGGGTTTGAGTGTATCCTAAACCTATCAGGCTGGAGTTGTTCACCTTGGCCTAGTCACAGAAAAGATAAGAGAGGAAAAGTGTTTAGTACATCTCATTTCCAAAATGAACCAAAGCCCTTCAACCGGCCAACTGTGGATTTCAAAATCAAACTGTCCTTGTCCACAACAACCTCTTGTTTATGGGATTCATTAAATTCATTACCAAATATATCAAAGTTGATAGTTAGGTTTCAAATGGGAAACTCACTCAATTTTCAAATGGATATGTTTTTACAGCACCCTGATTTTCAACTAAAAGGAAGTCTTTATTTACATTTGATTCCTGAAAATATAAATGTGCAACTGATTCTGTATTGAAGTTTGATAAGGACCTTTTTCATTTTGGTTCAGATAGATCTGGTTGGAAAAGATTTCCTTGTATGAATGAATCCTTTAAAACTGTTAGGATGAAGGAAAACAGGAAACACCAGCCTGAGTATAAAGGCTTTTTAGGCACACCATTGATAGGAATTTGTTTTCATGAAAAACAGAAGCAAAATGAATGCTGCCATGAAGAGGGCTAAGCACAATTGAGCCTAAATTTAAACATGTATTAGAATAAAAGGATGACACAGCCAGACAATCATTTAAATTTCAACAACATTTAACATTAAGGTCAATAAAGTAATTGACCAAACCCATAACAGTTTTGCCCTCATTCTTCTGGTTGACAGGAAATTCGGTGCTTCCTCCCATCCTCTTGCTGGTGAAATTATAAGGAACAGGAGCCATTTAAGCCAAACTCAGATCATGAGAATGTCAAGTCCCAGGGGAGACTAGGGCTGCCATGGTACCTGTTTCCCTGCTCAGGTGGCATTCTGAGACCTGCCCCAACCCCCACCCCGTTAGAGTGAGCAAAGAAGGGGAAGGAATGGCTCCCAGGGGCCACTGTGCTGCTCCTTTTGACTCTCTCTACCGGCCAACCAGAGGTTGCTGTCCCACTGAGGAAGCCAAATTCAGTTCCCAACTTAGGAGTCCTGAAATGGGCTCTCCATAAATTACACAGACCATCAAACCATTCCATAAATGATTCTACAACAGGAGATTTCCTCATTTCACCCTAAAAAAGGTACAGTATAAATGAACTTGGATATATTGCAAAAATCTTGTAACTGAGGCTTCAAAAGCAAGGTTGCAAGGTCTTTAAGATAAAATGCAAACTGCCCACTCCCAGGGCCTGATTTCTTAATAAGTGAGGCAGAAGGTAAGCAAGATCATGAAAACCGGGGTGAGGGGGAGCATTTAAAACCTTAGGTTTTCGTGCACCCCTCTTTACAGTCTGTATTAGGGAACAAAGCAATTGCAGCTGACCCTGTTCTGACCCATGGTAACCTCATGGGCACAGAGAACGACTGTTCCACATGGTTCTCAAGGCCAGGACATTCCCAAAGCAAAACAACTGAACATTTTTCCACAGTGCCTCTGCGTGGGTTTGAACATCTAACTTTTCCGTTAATGGTCAAGTGCTTAGGGAGCTCTGGTGGCCAAGTAGTAAGGAGTTGTACTGCCAACCCAAAGGTAGGTGACTCGAATGCACCAGCTGCTCCCAGGGAGAAGGCGGGCAATCTTCTCTCATGCAATTTACAGTCTCTAAAAACCCGCTGGCGGGTCAGCTATGAGTTGGTTCTGCCTCAGTGGCCCACAACAAGAAGTCAAATGCTGGGCATTTTACACTTGCAAGGTTCACCCTCTGGAGCTTAAAGGAGGAAGCTCAAGTGAGTGAGAGCTAAATTCAGGCCTCCAGAATCACATGCTTATTATGTGCCTTTGGATAAATTACTCAATCTCGCTAAACTTTGACTTCCTCACCTATAAAAACAGAGACGACTAGAGCATTGCTATTGTGACATTAAGATATTGATACATACATAATGACTAGGGATGACAGAAGGAGAATTGATGCCTTTGAGCTGTGGTGCTGGAGAAGAGAGTTGAATATACCATGGACTGCTGGGAGAACAAACAAGCTTGTCCTGGGGAGGGTGAGACCAGGTTGCTCCTTGGAGGCAAGGATTCTGAAGCTCCGTCTGTCATACTTTGGGCATGTTGCAAGGAGGGACCAGTCCTTGGAGAAGGACATCATGCTTGGGAGGGTCGACAGACAGTGCAAAAGAGGAAGACCCTCAATATGAGATGGATTGATTGAGTGACAGAGGTAATGGGAGTAGGTGTGTTGGAGACAGTGAGTTGGCACAGGACAGAGCAGGGTTTAGGGCTGTTGTACATAGGGTCACTATGAGTCGCAAGCAACTTGTTGGTACATAACAACAACAGCACATACAATGAGCTCAGTGGCACAGGTGTCTGACACACAGAAGGTATTATTAATGTCATTTTCAAGTCTTCATGGTGAGATAACCTTTAAGCCAAGGCACAACATCCAACAATCACCTACGACTCCAACCTCAGGATGAGGTGGGCCCCATCCCCGCCCCCCCCATGAGAGACATGGTGCACGGGCACTCACTGAGAAGCAGGCGTCAGGGTCGATCTGATACTTGGCTGCTATTCCGAAGCGAGTGTTACTATTTCCAGCTGTCCAGGCGAGATTGACAGCAGTCTCCAGCTTCTTGTTCACCTTCTGGTAAATAGAGCCTCCAAACTCTGTCCCGTCATTCCTGCAAACAAGCACGCAACACGAGTGACAAGCTGCCCGGGGAGGGGGCTGGAGCCCAGGCAGCACTGCCCACACTAAACAGATCATTGGTGTTGAGATGGCACAAAGTTTCTACATTTCTCACAAAGATAGCAAGTTACAGGACACCTGAAGGAATGGGGCAGACACCAGAGCGGAAATCATAAAGACAGCCCAAAGGCTCGAAGCTCAAAGCGTGTATAGCTTGCCACGGAAACACTTTTAAAAGGGGCACAACCACAACCTCCAGTGCGTACTGATTCTCTCTTTCGGGTGATGAGAAAATTTAGAAAATAATGGTGGTTCTTGTACAACACTGAATGTAGTAACATCACTGAATGGTCCACTTAAAAAAAGCCAAAATGGCAAATCAAAAGCACCAACTGGGACCCTGAGACTGCGAGTGATTATGTTCTAGGAGCTAGAAGGTTTTTGGGGTTTTTTTTAAGTGTTGTTACTTTAAAACTGATTTTTTATTTCCCCTCTCATAAAATGGTAAGAGGAGGCTGAACATACATAGAGATGGGGGGAAAGGCTGGAGGGCGTGGCTGCTCATTTTCCACAGAAGGCAGATTATAGTTCTAACTCCATCAGCAGCTGGGGGACATACCAGATCTGATCCAGCCCTGCTGAGGAGCAGCAATAACGAAAAAGCGTAACCAATAACTCAGACTGGTCTGTGTGTGCGCATGCTGTGGAGCTGTGCGGCACCATCTAAAGTCAAAGAAGGATGTGAAAAGAGAGCTTACTGCATTAGAAAATGTCATTACTGCTATTAGCGGGGCCTTCCAGTGAGTTTTCAGAGGCAGAAAATCTCATGGAAGGAGACTGCTCATCTTTCTCCTGCAAGCAGCTAGTGGATTCAAACTGCATGCCTTTGGACTGGCAGTGCAACTCCTTACTCACTAGGCCAACAGAGCTCCTCTAAAATATCTTTAGATTTATGAATGAAATTCCAGCAGATGAAGTTCTTTTTTTCCCCAAACATGCCACTCTGCCTTCTGCTAGGAATACTGTCTTCCTTTCCCCAGCCATCCAGGGCTCTTCTTAAGGGCTCTGTACAAGCTCTCAGAATTTGGATTCAGAATTATTTCCCACAAAACTGACTCTGTACAGGCTGGTGTGGTCACTGTTGTCCATAAGTAAACTACAAGCTGAGAACCAGGGTCCACATCACCTCCTTCTTTCCAGCCTGGGGTCTACACAGATCATTACCATTACTTAGTTTTGGGGTTTTGTTAATAAGCATAGTTCATACTGCTGACTGGTCAGAAACAATTCTCCTCCCCTAACCCCCCGCCAAAAACAAAACAATAAAAATAGAAATGGTTTAAGCAGTTGCCATTTGGGATTGTTGCTGTTAGTTGCCGTTGAGTACAATTCATAGCAACCCTATGAACAACAGATCTCCTGCACCATCCTCACACTTCCTGGCACACTGGATCTCATTGTAGCAGTAACCATGTCAGTCTACCTGGTTGAGGGTCTTCATCTCCTTCGCTGACCTTCCACCCTTCCTAGCATCATATCCCTCTCCAAGGAATAGCCCCTCCTAGCAACATGTCCTAAGTATGTGAGGCGAAGCCACATCATCTTTGCCTCCAAAGAGCACTCCGGCTGCACCCTTTCCAAGATATATGTTTGTTCTTTTGGCCGTTCATGGGATGTTCAGTGTTCTCCTCCAACATCACAGCTCAAAGGCTTCAATTCTTCTATCATTTCTAATCACTGCCCAGCTCTCAGAAACATAGCAAGTGATCAGAAAGACTGTGGCCCAAATCAGATGCACCTTAGTCCTTAAACTGACATCATTATTCCTCAATAATTTGGAGAAGTCAAATACTATTAGGGATTAAGAAATAAAGATAAGGCAGAAAGGCACTGTTTTTCTTAAGTTCTTGAGCACTACTATTTGCGTTTATAATCCTGGATGCGGACTTCTTTGATAAAAATTTAAGAAAAATCTTTAATGCTGCAACTAAAAGAGGAAGGGGAGGGACCCACAACAAACACCTCATCTCCCTTCCACTGCCTGGTGTAAAACTCTGCCTTGTTACTGTGAGGTGATCAAGCTGACTATGACTCACAGCAAGAGATCGGACCCTCGTCTGTCTCTCCGGTGTCCCTCACAATCTGACAGGCTCAAGCCTGAGCTTCCATGAGTTACCAATGACTGTGGTCCTTCAGCACCACTGGGCACCTCTGTGTGGACTCAAACCTCCAAGTTTTTGGTTGGCAGCAGAGCATTTAAACAGTTTCAACATCCAGAGAATTCTAAATTGTATCCATTTGATATTAACCAAAAATTGTCAAGTTGGGGAGAGATGACAGCTAGAAGTAGTGCCTATTTCCAATTCCAAACCAAGGAGGGACTTCCCCTATAGTCAATTCTAAATTTAAAAGTTCTTCCATGAGCGCTGTACTCTTCTTATAACATTTTTTTTGTATGTTGCCTTTCCTTAAGTAACATATATTTACTGATCCTTCTCTGGTGTCTGTGTGTGGATCTTAACATGTACAGACTCATGTATTAACTACCGTGACTAGGATACAAAACAGTTCCATCACCCCAAAAAATATCCGGCACCTCCTTTAAATTCACACTCTCCCAGGTCCTCAGGCACCACTGTTCGGCCCCACCTCAAGAGTTTTCCTAGGATTTTATAGGTTCAAAAGATTCAAAATTTGCTATTAATTATAAAAACTGTACAAAAAGTTTTAACAGAAATGTTAGTCATGTAAAAGCTAATACCATGTACACCTATGTTCACAGCAGTATTATTCACAAAAGCAAGAAAATGCAAGCAGCCCAAATGCCCATCAACAAACAAATAAATTGAGAAACTGTGGTACATTCACACAATGGAGTACCATGCAGCACTCAGGAGCAATGATTTTGTAAAATATGACAGAATGTGGGGGAGACTAGAGAGCTTTATATTGCATAAGGCCACTATTGTGAAAATAGGATGGTAACGGAGCAAGATGTGTATAAATGTTGAAAAAGGAAAGAAGCAAAGCGGACAACAAAAGAGAAAGGAGAGAAAATCACAGGGATAGGATAGGTTAGTGGATGGAGAGGGTGATGTATTGGGAAAGACCCAAAAGAGACTTGAAAAGATAGGGTGATAATAGGCTTAGAGTAATCATAATTAATTACATAAAATATAATGTATACCAATTATTGTACAAAACAAAATACATGTACAAAACACAATGTATATGAATGATTATATGCAAAGCAATAAAAAAGTTTTTAGAAAAATGTTAATGAAGAATTTGACTTTTAACTTTAGGTGGTGGCCTTTTTTATAAATTAATTGATCTCAAGTATATTTTTAGAAGTTAAAAAAACAGATTATAATCCCCTTCTAAGTATAAAATACTCATAAAACTCTAAAAATGGCGAGCTCTGGTGGCCTAGTGGCAGGAAATTGCACTGCAATCCCAGAGGTGCACGGTTCAAATCCACCAGATGCTCTGCTGAAGAAGGAGGAACAATCGCCTCCTGTACCAGTCAGATCCAATTTGATGGTACACACATAAAATAAATTAAAAAAAAATAATAAAACTCTAAAAATGTATTTGAATCTGAAAAAAATAAAAAGCTAATACCATTTACTTATAAATTTAAGAGGTTTGCTTCTTTTGCGACCTCTAGTGGAAAGAAATAAAATTGGTGCCAGAAGTTAATTCCTCGTAAACACAAGGATGTGTGTGGATAAACTTTAGATTACCTCAACCTCCATCATCACTGTACTTCAATTCCCAAAACTGAATACCAGAGGTTTCTTCAAAATCTAACCTGTAATTTTTGTTTCTCTTCAGTTTGACCCATTGGCAAGCAGTTGATAATTTTAATACCCCACCATGCAGAGAATACACTCGATCTCCCTGAGGTAAAGATCCTCTAATTTGTATACAAGGTATATTATCTACAATGCACACAATCTAATTTTAGTAAATTCAGCAAACTGAAGCTTAGGCTTGATACAGAGAGCTTCATCTTTTCTTCTTAACCCCTCTCATTTTGTTAACTACACATGAAAGGCCCCAGCTTTCCATACAGAAAGATGCACAGAAGAGTTTTCATTCTCTCCAGAGTGAAGCCACGCCTTTGCTGGGATCAGTCATTCTACGCACCATTGACGGTATTTACAGTTCACAGATTAGAAAGAACTTTAGACATTTCTAGAAGTGGATAACAAAAAAATATTAACAGCCATTTGATTAAAGAAATTCGTTATTAAAAATTAAATTTAGAACAATATCATAAAAAAAAACCACAACTCCTTCACCATACATACTTACACATTAGTGTGAAGCTGGAATTCATCTGTTTTGTAGCCAACTGCAAAGTTGCTCTGGGTCACCCGGGACTTGGCGGTCTCAAAGTTCATCTGGTAGCCCGCCAGCCAGCCCTCATAGCCCAGCACTAGGGCGCCCCGGATGGAAGGCCCAGAGATGTCAAAATCCACATCGCAGCCCAGGTTGATGTGCTCCCGCTTATACCCTGTCTTGATTTTAGCATTTTTTTTCCTGGGAAAAAAAAAGGACAGGTATTAAAATCATAAGTTAACTTACCCTGGGATAATCATGCTAAGAAATGTACCCCCACACACACAAAAAAAAAAAAGAAGAAGAAGAATTCCATTTTAAATAAATAAGGCAGGGGCAGGAGAGCAGGTTTAGAGGCCCGGCTCTCTCAAGTAGACTCTGCACCACAATGGGTAAGACAGTAAGGCAACACAACTGTCCCTGGCAGGCTTCCAGGGTGTAGATATGCCACAATAATAAAGCGAGAACTTCAGAAACCAGAGACCTGTGTTAGGCATGACAGACATTTATTGGGTAGGTAGCCACTATGGAATTCTAAAACGATGCATCTTTGCTATTGTTCGGATCCATGGAAAAGGTACACCTGCCACTAAAGCAGCTACCTGAACAGCACATTTAAAGGCATGGTCATTTTCTCACTTTGTAGCTTACCAAGTAAGTAATCAGTCCCTTCAAAGTGAAGGCAACAAGAAAGATGGCTTTAAATTCAGGACTCAGGAGATTGCAATGCTTACATAGCATTTCAGAGAAGTGGGCCCTGGTGTGGACCTGGGGCTCTGCAGCCAGAAGTCCTCTTTGACCCTCAAGAGCCCAGGCTGCACCTTCTGGTCCTGGATGTGAATCAATCACCTAGATAGTGCTCATGTTTTGTCCTCTGTGGGGATTCAGCTTTTCTCAAGAAGGGTAGGTAGGTGCGTAATGTCATCTGCAAACACAGTACCATGTCTTTTACCATGCCCTCCCCTACAAAAGTAATGGCTGGAGAGAAAGACCACATCTATCACACATGTATCCTCCTTTCACTTGGTTGGTCCTATCATTTCGTTCCCACCACAGCTGCATCTTTACACCGACCACATGAAAAACCGTATCAGTCAGGTCAAAACACCAAGGACTACATGCCTGGTCCATCCTTAACTTCATTCACACAGAAAGTCCATTCCTTCGTAAAATAAGCCAATGCACCTTGGAAACCTAACTATAGGCCCCAAACTGGGAGCTCTAGTGCCTTAATGGTAAGGAGCTACACTGCAAACTCAAAGGCATGCTGTTCGAATCCACCAGCTGCTCCCTGGGAGAGAGATGGATAATCTCCTCCAGTGCCATTTACAGGCTCTGAAAAGCTATCAAAGTCGGTTCCAACTCAGTGATACAAAACAACACAGGTGCCGGACAGGAAACGTACAACATGAACTGGACTACTGGGGTTAGGTCAAAAGGACCTGGGTGTTATGCCGCAGGAGTTCCCAGGAGATTCAAAGATGGGAAAAATGGATTCTTAATAAGAGGAGCATCAGAAATAGATTGAAACATATGTAAGGTTTAAGGCCATTAATTTACAACAACACTCCAAACACAAACACACATACATACCCTATTCATACCAAGTCAACAGCACTCGATACCAAATAATATAATACAAGGAGCTCTGGTAGCCTAGTCTGTAGAGAGCTGTGCTGCAAGCTGAAAGGCCATGCCTCTCTGGTGGTTGAATCTACCAGTGGCTCCGTGAGAGAAAGACGGGCATCTCCTCCCATGTGATCTACAGCCTCTGAAAACCTGCTGGAGAGTCAGATGAGAGTCGGTTCTCACTTGACTTGCCTTGAATATCATACAGAGAGACAACTAGGACTCATAAAGCAAGACTAGAAGAATTTATTACCACCCATAAAATTGCCTAACAATTTACAAGAAATCATGGAGAAACAATTATCAACATTCAGTCTGTGTGTAATATTACAGAACAGGTGAGGCTGTGTCCTCAATAAACACATTGCACCAGATAAAAAGAGAATCTAAAAAGTTTCATTTAGAAGACATTAAACCAACTGCAAAGTACAGATAATTTTTATTTTGTAATAAAACATCTGAAATTATCAAAATTTGAACAGACTAGAGATCATAGTTTCTATTTCTTCTATGTAATAATAGAATCATGATTATACTTTTTAAAAACATCTTACCATTTAAAGATAAGTAACACTTGTCCCTTGGCATCCTATTCTGATGCTCAAGTACCTTATATAAAATGGATTATAATTTGCATATAGCCTATCCATACACTCCCATATATTTTAAACCATCTGCAGTTTACTTTGTAATTTATAAGAATATCACCTGTGAAGAGAAAAATAGATCTTACAAGACAGAGGAGAAAGAAAAAACCAAAATGAATGTCACAAGAGAGTCTGAAAATTATAACTGTGAAAACAAAAGGGAAAGATGCTGAAGTAAAAGTGATTTTACTTCAGAAAACAAGATTTCAAAGAGAAGCTCGAGAAAACAAAGCAAAGTATTATAACAGAATGTGCAAACAACTGGAGTTAGAGAATAAAAAGGGAAGAAATCACTTAACGTTTCTAAAGTTGAAAGAAATAACATTTCAAGCCTTCAGTTTTAATAATGAGAGATGCTATCAGCAAAATCCTGAATGACTCAATTAAGCATCAAAAGAAAATGGGAGGAGTACATAAATAACTGTATCAAAAAGAATTGGTCAACACTGAAATATTTCAGGAAGTACCATACGATCAAGAGCCAGTGATAATGAAGGAATAAGTTCAAACAGCAGTGAAGGTATTAGCAAAAAATTAAGCTCCTGGAATTAATAGTATATCAATTGATACATTTCAACTCACAGATGCAGGCCTGGACATGCTCATTAGAAATCTGAAGGACAGCTGCCTGGCTGACTGACTGGAAGAGATTCATGTTTGTTCCCATTCCCAACAAAGGTGGTCCAACAGAAATTATTGACTATCATTAGTATCACATGTAAGCAAACAATAATGCTGAAGATTACCCAAAAGTGGAAATGCACTGATAGAGAACTGCCAGAAGTTCAAACGGGATTTTAGAAGAGACCCTGAACCAGGGAAATCATTGCTGATATCAGATGAATCCTGGCTGAAAACTGAGAATTCCAGAAGAATGTCTATTTGTCCTTCATTGACTATGTAAAGGCATTTGACTGTGTGGATCATAAAAAATCATGTCTAATCTCTATAAAGAAGAATGTGGAATCAGGATCAGAGGAAGATCAGCAGCAGCCTGCATTATGCAGATGGCACAACCTTGCTTGTTAAAAGTGAGGAGGACAAAAAAAA